ATGCCGGTGCAATACTGATTTGATCTCGAATCGGATAGATATATGTACCCATATGCAGGTGTGTACTGATACGATTGCTTTTCCGTTAGATGTGAATAACATTATACAGGTCCTGTGCTCACACGATTCTTCGTTAGGTAGGTTTATATACCATCCCGCGGGTGTAGTACTGAGATAAATTCACATCGCGTTATGACACACCATGTATGTGATTCAGGAACATATTCATTCACTCCGACCATACAAGCACACTTACTGACGCCTTCGATTGTGGTAGTAGTTAGATGCGAGCACGCTAAATAATACATACGATTACATCTACCAGGTTAGTACGTTTGAGACAGCTATTCGCGTACTGGGGGGTTTGCTCTCCTGTTTCGGCCTGACGCACGACTATATGTACATAGAGAAATCAGTTGATATCGCGGACCGTCTGATCAAAGCCATCAGTATCAAAAACGGCCAATTTATGTAAGTACTGAGGCCGCGGAATTGTTGCCAACTCGGTTTTTTGTTGGTTCGGATAGTGTAACGATTCAGTTTATAAACCTCTACGCAAGTGTTGTGGGTTGAGTCTCGGCTGAATCTTAGTTTGTCGATATTAAGGAATTGCTGTCACATACTTGTGCATGAATGTATTAAATCACTGCTATGTGCCTTCCAAATATCCACGCACATATACTTGAAAACGTGCATCTGCACAATCTACAGGAGTATGGGTAGATTCGTACACCTCACAACGGGAAAGGCCCATGGCAGGGCAGCCATCGCAGAGTTTGGAACACTCCAGCTCGAGTTTGAGTATCTGTCTGACATTACGGGTAGGTCGCTACACATGCATATATATATGTGTATATATATATATGTATATACAAGTATATGAGTTTGATTTTTCCTATGTTCCTGAACTTCGGATACGTGACAGTCCAATGAAACAAATCGTAGCGTTCGTACAAGGGTATGGGCTGCTAGTAGTTTAGTATGTCCTATTATCGAGGCATGTGCGTCTATGAGATATACTCCGGATTCACTACAGATCTCGTACAAGATTCGAGTATCTTATCTGTTATTACCGATGCGTGAACATTTACTTGAACGTGGGTCTCCAGATATCCGCGCGGAAATCGACCCAATATTTTCTCCATCGTTTGAATGTTTGTATAAATGTCGTTCCTTTCAAGCTATGCACTCGGGACCTATATAGAGGGCCTCCAGACATCCCCCGTCTGCGACCCTAACAGGCATTAGACATTTGTCACAACCACAGGTTATTGAATGTGTTGGCTGATATGATTCCTATCACACATTTGTCCGCATACCCGCTCGATACCCCTAGGTGATAGGACGTACCGAGATATAGTATATATCATCAGGGATACGATGAATGCCGCCAAAACCGATAATTTCTACGGTGCCAACTTCGTCGCCGGAGCTAAGAAGCCCTTCACTGGTAAGGTCACTATGGGAGGAGAGGTGGACAGCTTCTACGAGTACCTCCTCAAGGGTTGGATCTTAGGCGGACGCGTGGATGAGGTACGTCATCGTCAACCGTTGTCCGCTTTTCAGTATATAGATGTATATATATATATATATATATATATTTATACATATACTTTTTCTTGCAAGTTGTAATCCGCATGCTACATGAGCATTCGGCAGGATGATGGTCATACAAAGACGGTCCGGGGATGTTGCGGGTACTGCACAGTCATGCGATACAATTATGTACATACTCAATTTTCGTTCAATAGACATATGTGGGTTGACTTTTTAGGTCATTATTGACAACGTGTATTTATGCACACACCGCCTCCATCCGACAGGTACAAGAAAAAATGTACTACGACATGGCAGATGCATTCATGGACCACAACTGGGTCAACAAAACGTCCGTCGGCGGATTCTCTTATTTGAAAGAGAATGCGACGACCAACAATCTGGAGCATCTGGCGTGTTTCGCTGGGGGAATGTATGGGCTTGGGGCGCAGTACACCACAGGTGCGTACTCCAACCATGAGTATGGTGAAAGGCGTGTCACTCGCTTGTATGTGTAGCCTCTGGGGTTTACTTACTACTGCCCATCTACCCCGTGTGTCATAGCTCTGTCCTTTCAGGAGAGCGAGAGCATGTGTCATATTAGTGCATGCCCGGTGATAGTGCTAGCCCAGGCAATCCGTACACAATCGATGTGTCCTTCGCACAATATTTCAGGTTTTGTGTGGAAAAATTACCGATCGAAACACGTGAATCTGTTGGTGCCTGTTAAGTTTAGTTAGACTTAAGTAGACTTAACAGGCACAAACTATACACGCGGTCCTTTGCTTGTATTGTACAGGTCTTGGTTATTTGCTTCGCAGACAGCAGTACAGCATCGATCGTCCTACCTAAGTTTCGTCTGTGACACGTACATGCTTTCTTTGATGCAGGTGATCGCGTGAAGCAAAATAGCAGGTATATGGACGTAGCTGAACAGATGACACGCACATGCCACCAGGGCTACATCAATACGAAGACGGGCTTGGCGGGAGAGAAATGGACCATGGATACCAAAACGGGAAATGTATGTGCTCGTGCATGTCACATACCATGGGATTCACATAGAGAGGTGTATGCTGGGTGAAGAAGTCTAGGAAAGATCGTACATGGGAAACAGGAATATGTGCAGCAAAGTCGAATCATTCTAAGTGCGATGCCGAGGACCCCACCTTTAGATTGCGATTTTTCATTCCGTATGGTCTGCTATTTCACTTTCACAGCCACTCAAACCGAGTAAAGGTGGCCTGGAATATATCCTGAGACCCGAAACGATCGAAAGCTACGTGTACATGTATAGGTATACCAAGGACGAGAAGTATAGAGAATGGGGCCTGGAGTATATTGAAGCTTTAAACACGCATGCCAAGGTTGAATTCGGATACGATTCGGTCAAGAATGTCTGGACGGATAGAAGAGAGTTTATGGTGAGTGTTGCCAACGGCGAGAAAATATGTGCTAAGGTTTGGCGTAAATTTCTTCACACAATGTTGCAATTGGTACAGTCCAGATAGGAATTATGTTTATTCATTCATATATTTCTCGCACGTGCATTCGTTCTGTAGGGGGTGTCTATTCCAAACGCATGCCATGTACATGTACGAATACAGACACAAAAAATAGCCGTGAGAGCATCTCTTATTTGTAAGCTTCACTATATTGTTCGTCACGTGCTGACATACCCACCGCCGCTTTCTCCCGTCGTCCAATCGACAGGACAACACACCGTCCTTCTTCTTTGCGGAGACGCTGAAGTACTTGTATCTGCTGTACTCGGACGATGACACAATCGGGTTCAACGATTTTGTGTTCAATACTGAAGCACACCCGATTCCCATTAAAGGTCGACCCTCGCGAGATACTCCGAGGTATGTACAATGCGGAGGTTTGGGCACAGTTAAGTCCACATAGTCATCATTGGAATGGTGTATCGAATTGGTAGATATAGAATGTGAATATACTTTCGAAGTATCGTGAGTTAAAATAGTAGATTGATCTGGAGCGCAACAATTCCGGTCGATGCTCGGGATTGGTATTTTATTATAGTAGTGCATGAATTGCGTGTTCGTAGTTAAGCTGATGTACCCCGATATGACAACTGTAGGTAAGTTCGTATACTGTGTGACCACTGGCTCTGATGCAAAACATTACTCGCTACAGAATGCACAATAATGAATTGTCAACACATAAGTTCATACTTCATGAGCTTGAAATGCCTTCGATAAATCTTCTCACATCAACTGAAGCTCAGGACCTCTGGACACCATTTAAATTCATCTCGTTTTACCACTTTGCGTAGATCATTTGTTTCACAGTCCTCCGCTTTAACGTGTGGTTTACTTAAAAGTCCTAAAGCATTTGAACCTTTTACAGATATTTCAGTATGTTTGACCCCACGTCTTTCACTGTAATATAAAAGCACATCCAGAGTTCTTTGTTTTGTTTATCTGAGCATGCCCAGCTATGAAAGAATATCAAGTCGTGTTATTTACTATTTTGTATCCGTCATTTCTACAGATATTCAGGATTTTCCGTGACACCGCCGATTAAGTTCGGGCAGCGCGCGCATAGTCAAGAGGTAAGGAGATGGGCCTGATACGAGGTTTACATATTTGCAGAGCTAGTCCATTCGAGAGTATACCTACATATCATGTCGGTCTTCCTTCCTTGCGATTTTTCTTCCTTGCGAATGTCTATTTTTTGCTTGCGAGATATTTTTACTACCTCCATTCAATTATCGGTGAACGTTTCTATGCACACACTCCCTGCCATGGGGTCCCCCTTATATGTGGAACGGTACTTGAAAATGGTTTATGCGTGATTAATTGTGCCTTGATCGAATATACGGTGTTTACGCGTTTCTCGTGCTCGAGTCTCATCCACGTTACTAGTTTTCTTCGCAGCGGTGAGTCCGGGAATAATGACTTTTACCCTTGTTAAAATTGTAAACTCAACTCTATCCGAACAGGCGCCTGATGTAGAACAGGCTGCGAATGTGAACGTGAATCATTTTAAGCCCAAAAACAAAGTAGACCTAGTCCAAGGTGACCGTCAAGTAAAACAAGAAGATGTATTCAACGATGAGCCTATTCCTGAAGGAGTGAACGATGCGGCAAAACAAGTGAAAAGAGCTCAATTAAGGGCGCAAGCAGAAGCTGAGGCCCAGAATAATCAGGCACAACCTCCCCGGGCGGCTGTTGTTCTGAAATGGGATAAACCGGCTCAAGAAGAGGAAAAATTGGCAGATAATGACGATGAAGGAGTGGACAAGGAGGATGCCAAAGAAGGGGATTTGGCGAATGGAGATATTGCTGATGGCGAACAGGATGATAACATTGCTGTCCAGAATGCGGGCTTAAATAAGGAAGGATATGCCGACAAAAACGGTGATGAAGTAGTTGACAACGATGTCGGAGGTGTACAAAAGGACTTTGAGGCCGATGAAGACCTGACGAATGAAGACGTGTATGCATTGAATAAGGAAATAGAACAGTTGAGGAAAGATGTCAAGAAATTATAGATAAAATAGCGTCGTAGCAATCGATGCATCAATAAGGGGGTGGACTGATGGCAAGGGAAGCAAATTGTAGGGCACAGAAACACTTCGACGAGACCGATACTGCGTTGTTGCAAATGAAAGTATATTGATCGATATTGTAGTGACGTTATGTCAGACCTGTCATGAGCAAAGCAATTTCAAAATGTACGATCAGCAGCGCTGTACTTGTGTGATTATAGTCAACCTCTAGCATCTCAGGGGTGCCATAATGGATAAAATGTATAAAGTTGGTGGTAAATGGCTCGTACAAATGGATATAAGATAGTACAAAGTGTAGTTGCGGAGCAGCCAATACCGTCGATCAAAATATACGCGAGTTTGATCCACTGTTGTTACTCGTGAGGGAGTTATTCTTAGTGCTTGTGCTAGTATTGTGCTGGTAAACGATCGACTCTTATGCTCATTCTGTACCTTCTCTCTACGTTTACATACCGAATATTCGTGAAATACACATTTGGACTGTTAGTATATTTGGTATTTAGCTAGCGTTTTGCATCGGAATCGATCATACAATTGCCCTTTTTTTTATAAATTAGATATTTGCTAGTTGTCAATTTCAATACCATGTCTGTTGATCGTGGCTGCTCCTCCTGCCCAACCTTCTGTGGACAAGGAAGCAGGTATCTGCAAAATAACCCTAAAACCCTATACCCCTTCTCTCTTCGCCGTATTGCCAACGAATACACCGTTTAAGACTAGTTTGCTACCCCTTCGGATTATCTGGGCGAAACAATCATCGAGCCCACTTGTGTATTTTTGGACAATATATCTTTAGATGCTAGCAACGCAACTGATTTGCTGCATATTTCGCAGATACCTGCTTCCTTGACAAACAAATAGCCAAACAGGGAGGAAATCTGAAATCTCGTCGGTCCACCTATGGACTCGTCTGGAGTCCCGAACCAGGACCCCCCCCCACCAAAAACAAAGTAATACACAACATTTACAAAATTCTTTGGGGAAAGTATTTAAAATCTCATCAAATAAATAGTACCTATCAAATATTTATCAAATATTTATGCTCGTTTACGACTCACGAGCCACAAACAATACGGGCATACGGCAGCCGGCTGTGTGGTATTTATCATTTTTTATATAGCTTTTGCTTTCAAAGTCTCAGACTCTCGCGTGTTCACTGTTCAGCCAACATTAATGACCAGTTGATCACGTGTTGTGACTCTTGTGAAGTGTGAAGTGTGAACGGCTGAACCGTGAACGTCTTGTTTCCAGTGATCGAAGTCACAGACACAAGATGAGCGGATTCACAGTTTATCGGTGACCTGAGACAAGATTTCTGCCAAATGGTGAAGTGGTGGCTAAACATCTGAATACTCGCGTCTCCGGTCTCACTAGTCTCACTCCACTTGTAAATAGTAAATACTATTAATATTAGTCAGTAGATTGTTTTTTATTTTAATTTATTAAAAAACTGTAAAACAAACCAAAACGGCTTTTTTGTTGTTGTTGTTTGTGGTTTAAAAAAAAACAACAAAATAAAAAACTCAAAAATGGTTTGTAAATATCTTGGGGGTTTTTTTAGAAAAATATATATTTTAATAAATAGAAAAAAGGAGATAAAAAAATAGAAGGCTGTGTTGACTTCTTGTGTATAGTCAAACCTCATTATATGACCTGTTTAAAGTGACCGACTCTTTATACGACCAATTTTTATATGGGCCAACCCCCATATATGCAGGTCTTTTTGGGTCGGTCCTGACAGCCTGCCCTTGGGGGGGTCAATCTAACAAATAAAGACAAGGGAATTATCGTGCGCGCAATCAAGAAAGTGGGATACAGCTTTGACAAGTCCTGGAAAGAGAACTATCGTGAGGATTTAGTCAAAGAAGCCGTGCTATTAAAATATAGGAGCATTTTTCAGTGATATGTATTGCGCCTGGAATAGCTCCTGGTCTGTTTATAGGTCAGACTGACCCAGATTTGACCCACCTCTTTATATGACCAATTTTTGACCAAAAACGGACACTGGTCATTTAAAGAGGTTTGACTGTATTTACAACAAAAAAAGGTTTGAATACATATATATATGTATATAAATAGATATATAAAAGAAATATTGCAGATTGACCTCATGGCTCTCATATTTTTGCATCTGCAAACGCTATCTAACGCATCTTTATACATCGCCCCCCCCAAAAGGCTACATATGTATTTACTATAATATAGATGCAATTTAAACCGTGTGATGCATAGTTTATCACAGTATGACAATTGTGAGATCAAATGTGGTGTTTTAAAAGTATGCATGTAATACTTGTGTGTAAACGATTATCTTGGATGCAGAGTCTTTGAAATTTCCGGAGCTTCAGCAACGGTCCCACTGATTCTCTAAGGACCATAAGAAAGGACTAGTGCTGCCGAATACAGGGGTACATATATTTTAGTAAGATGCGCAGATTTACGACATGATTGTATCCTGTAATGTATCGCTAGCCTTTACTTAAAACTCATCCTAGTGTGGCTATTATTTTCTGCGTCGTCCACGATGATTCAATCTCAAAAAGATAACTGTCGATTTTCAACAGCACTAGTTGTTCACCGTAAATCATGCTGGTGCGAATCGATTCTTTCCTGTGACATGGAGCTTCTCGGATCATCAACGAACGTCGTTGAAGAAGTGGAACAACCGAGTAAGACACTCGCAGACAGCTCCAGTTGATAGCCCTTTCTGGCATGTGCACCGGTGTGGCGTCGAAATACTTATAATAGGTGACGACGCACGCAGCGTGGTAAGGTTTTACCAGGCTAATCTAAGTAGAGGAAGGGTACACGTGTCTATTCATTCTGACTCACTGACTGCCTGGTGAAGTATGGGCACAACCTGACATTTCAACCAACACATATTTGTCTCCAAGGTTCTTACGATGTGCGCGTCTGGTACGCGTCTGGCTCAATAGATGCTGTGCTTATGCTTGTCTCCATGGCACCTTTCCATTAATTTGGGTACCGAGAGGCGGTCTCCAGCACCAGAAAGTAGTAGTTTAACTCTACGTGCAGCCATAAGCCATTTGATAATGCAATCGCAGCGAGATATCGCCGGACTATTAACTATTCGGGACAGTCTATGTGCGCACGCACGAGTGTCTAATTCTGGTTCATACGGGGTCTGCCCTAAATGTCGAAGGTCGAGTCACAATAGCCATCAATATACTTATTTACGAGTCGAGCCAAAGAGCCTCAAGTCAGATAGTCGGGCCTGTCCCTCGTTTCAACCTCACTTCCAGCGGGCGATGAAAGCGATTATCAAAACGACGGCGAGGAGAATCAGAAATACATATAGCAGACAGCACATCTTCCCTCGAGCCTTTTTCTATGGAGTGCGGGAAAAAAGCACACACATAATGAGTAAGCGAGTTGGAGAGTGTGCGATTCTTGGTGGAAACACGAGCGTAGTGAATGGGAAATATCTATAGTATATTAGACTACTGCGAAAGAATTATACTATGTAGAAGAGTGCAATGCGGAAGAATATTATGCAGAGATGTAGTACATATCTGCAAAGCGGATATGACGGAGGTGGATACTGCTAAGTTCGCTTACATTGATTGGACTAGGGAGACTTAGAAGTCAATTAAAATATTTTAGCAAATCAATCGAACAGCGCTGTTAAAATCGCAACTAGTAGCTCAAACACTAGTAAATAACAAATAACAAATAAATATGAATACGCTTACGGTATCCCTGAGACACATAAAATGTTCATTAAAACGTACCTGATAATCTTCAGCATGCCTTACTTCTTGAGCACCCGCATTTACTGAATCGGCCACAGAAACTACGTTGTGTTCGATATCATCTACAAGGAGACGGTACATAGATGTCAGGAGAAAAGAAATTCGAAAAGGTAAATGGAGTCGATGCGCAATTATTAGTGTACTGTCCCGCAAAAAGGAACTAACTTTCAACAACCCCAAATTCTATTCAATTCAAATGACCTACAATGTCGGAAACCAAAATCTTCGCTCTAATTATCTGTCATGTACAGACCTTTTGATACAGTGCACAAATCATAGCAAAGAACCGACAATTCCAAAATGCACAGGTTCAGCACTCGTATCTACGGACTTGAACATTCTGCGACACCAATAACACACACTTATACAGGTGACATTAAGTTCAGACGTACCCAGCATTTGACCCTGCTCCAATACAATCGCACCCAAATCCCTGAATATCTCATTGACTTCCAGCACGGACGTCTCTATTGATCTGATGCCCTCCTCGCGTTCCGTGATAAGAGCTTCATTGTATTCTATGCTATTATCCAGTGTTATATTCTGTGCACTGTGAGGTAGCAGCAGATACATATCAGTCCTTGGTAATCAGGTCTTTCAGTGTGTGAGCAGTATGCAATTGAAACTACTACAAATTTTTAGTTTTATGCAGATGAGTCAACGCACTAAATTGTTGACGAATGGGATTCGAGTATATTGAACACTATATATGCACCGGGTTTGGGGTTTGGGGTGCTAAAATGTCCGGATACGGGCAGGAGGCTAGACTCGTACCAGAAGTGAAAGGAGTAATCGGGAACGATAGATATCATAATGCATACATATGCCAAGTATCGCTATATAGGGGTAAGCTACGCTACATCTCACTGGTTTGTTGCAGCAATACCAATATATAGCAATGATACTGGAAAAATATGTGGATGTGTGTACGGACGTATGCAAGTATGTGGGTATCTACTTGCGCGTGCCTTTACTTCTAGCTCAAACGAATGCCGATATATATATTAAAATGACGATGTGGATAGCACAGCACCATGAGATGATATTTCACAGCTCGACATGTTCAAGGTTTTTCATGGCTCACTGATATATTTTCATGATGACGGACTTACAACATTTGCTGGTTGCCCAGCAATGCCGTATTCTCGTTTGCCCCAGTCTTCGCCCTTTGCTCCTCCTCATGCATGTGTGACAATTCTTCCTTGGCCTGGCTCACGTTTTCTTTCTCCTATAATGTTAAGATACAAATGCCGTTAGCACATAACACTCATCGACTATTGCGCTAGCGCCTTTACAATGTCCACGCACTACCAAGTATACGATGCAAATGTGAGGTCTACGTTTGCATGAACGATTTAACAAAATGCGTTTGTCCAGCAAAATGAGTGCTATTGACCAAAATCATAGTAGGATTATAAATATAGCGGCCGAATGGTTAAACATAAGCTGCTCGCAGTTGTATACCAACACCGCTGTGCAATATATAGACAGTGAGATGAACAGAAATACACTCCAACCGATGCACATCCTATTGATACATGAAAGCACCACACTTGTGGTTGTAATCGATCTGTCATCGATGTAAAATACGAGCTCTACCGGATAATAGAGATACAATATTATAGTCCCTTATGCGGTTGAAGAGGCATGCTCAGAAGGATTTCAGGACGGTACTTAACCGCGTATGTATATGTACTATACTTGCAATCAATAAAGCGGATCTTCTATGTCGAATGAGTCAGGGGCGTATACTAACACCACTTTCATACGAATTGACACCAACATGACCCCGTAACACCACAAGCATACGATGGCGATACATATCATCTCGCACAGCCTAACATGGCGATACATATCATCTCGCACAGCCTAACAAACAGCTATACGATTGATGTACTAATGAGCCAACAGAACTGTAGCAATGAGTGCTACTCAAAGTTATACCGACCATATGAACCTAACAAACAGCACGTACCTTCTTCATGCTCTCCTTTTGCAGCACCTCAAAGTCGTGCAGGAGCGTGGCAAATTGTTGCGACAGTTTCTTGAGCTGCATCTTATTCCGTTGCTGTGCAAGTGGTGACGAAAAATATTGGGACGATTAACAAGGAAAGGCGAGAAACCCCGAATCCGGATTTTGTTTTGTAGGGTCAATGTATAATAATATACTATCCAAAAGGTGTACATTATTATATGGACTACCAATTGATTATAGGAACTCGATTAGTTTGTACCCATATATGTACCTACTTTTTCTTGGTCTGTACCCTCCCACGACTGCGAAGTGAGTTGCTTAATACCATCGGTGGTGTTTCTGGCGATTTCTCTAGTTTCTTCTCTCAATTTCTTCCTGCGGAAACAATTATTTGTATACATGTACACATTGAGCATTTGAAAGCACATGTGACTATCATATGAATATACATACACACACACACATATATATATCTTCTTCCTTTCTTAACCAGTATATATATATATATATATATGATATTCCTATATATACTCAAGTGTGCATCTTCATGTGCACATGATACATGCGCGTATTTGAGTCAATCAACATCAGTGATATGCGTCTGTTAAATACAGATATAATATGTATGTCGTGACTTCCAACATGCCCCCCTAATAGCAGGTTGACCACATGCCGGTACAAGAACTTTGGTGTGAAACAACATTTACATTGCCTAAAGATAATACCTAAAAATAGCGATTGCAAAACAGACATGACACGCATTGAAAATAATAAACAGCATAGACCGAAATACAATCGTGCCTGTATATAATCCTCAGATGAGAACATTCGGGCGGTGGCTGATAGATGCAAATATCGTATACGCGAGGATGTTATATATCGCATGATGCACTTCTAACCGAATAGGCACGCGTACATACCTAATTTGAGAATATGTGCCATCCTACAAAATAATCTTCACACCTTGCAAGCACATTTCACACGCTGAATATACACTTATGCATATACACACACTTAGTCCTGTATGCGATCAAGTCTTTGTATGTATTGACTACCACGCGTGGTTGTGCACAAACACATACGGCTCTAACATACAATTCTTCGCGCATGCGATGGGTATCTCTAGAACCCCCCAAGAGCGCATTCAGTTTCCTAATCCGGTCCACATTGGTGGAGATACGGAACACGTTCTGCGACACGTTCCGTGCAATGCTTCTGTAAGAAGCCTGAGATCGAGCTCCGGCTTGGGAAGAGGCCTGCGATACATATTGGCTGTTGCGAGAAGTATTTATACCGAGGAACGATAAAAGTACACACGCGTTGATAGAGCATAAGTTAGGAGTCTTCATGGTCGCTAGAAGGTAATGTTCTGGGCTAAGGCTAAGTAGAAGACAAGGACATCACCATCAGAGATAGGCGGAAAGAAAAGGCATGTACTGGTAGTTCAAAACCAAGCCCAAAAATAGGAGGTAGTGGGGGTATGCATTCATATACCAATGGCTTGCCTCGCATGCAAAAGGTGGAAAACACGCGAACTACGATAGGCTGCGACCACTAATAACAGAGATATACATACACGCACATACACAAAAGCCACACACACTAGAAACAGAGGTATGTACAGAGACCGACACACAAATACACATGCACAGAACCAACTATTGAAGAGCATATATATATACATATGAATATACAAACATACATACAAGCATACCTACCTACACTTATACACACACACACACTATACATATATATATATATATACATATATATACCTACCTACACATATACACACACACACTATACACACATATATATATATTAATT